AGGGCCAGCTGGGCTCCCAGTGGTGTTTTTTTGGGGTCCCTGCCTGGCCTGTGGTGGTTTTTTGGGGTCCCAGGCACCGGCAGAGCTGGGCTGGGTGGCACAGACAGCAGGGGAGGGCACTGCCAGCTCTCTGCTCCCGCTGCAGCAGCACAAACAGAGTCTCAAACCCTGGGAGCTGGGCAGGGTGCCAGCCTTGCCAGCCCAGCCAGGAGCCCAAATCTGCCCCGGCTAATTGCCTGGGAGCTCAATTAACAGGAGCAGCACTCCCTGGCCCGGCGGGGAGGGAGCAGGGGGGCTGTGCCTGCTCTCCGTGCCAGGAGCTGCCCGGGAGCGCGGCTGCCCTGCCCTCATTAGAGCAGCCTCCCGGGCAGGAAGGAGGCAGCGATTTCTCAGTGACAGGCRGGTGGCCGGGATGATGAATATCGCCGCCGCCTCGGGCTGCCGGGGCTCCCTCGCAGGAGCCTTTTGCTCCCGGTTATTAACGGGACACAGGCTCAGGAGCCTTTTCCTCCCGGTTATTAACAGGGGACAGGCTCAGGAACCCCTTCTTCCCGGTTATTAACGGGGGACAGGATCAGGAGCCTTTTCCTCCCGGTTATTAACGGGGGACAGGCTCAGGAACCTTTTCCTCCCGGTTATTAACGGGGGACAGGCTCAGGAACCTTTTCCTCCTGGAAATTAAAGGGGGACAGACGCAGGAGCCTTTTCCTCCCAGTTATTAACGGGACACAGGCTCAGGATCCCTTTTTTCCCGGTTATTAACGGGGGACAGGCTCAGGATCCCTTTTTTCCCGGTTATTAACGGGGGACAGGCTCAGGAACCTTTTCCTCCCGGTTATTAACGAGGAACGGGCTCAGGAGCCTTTTCCTCCCAGTTATTAACTGGGGACAGGCTCAGGAACCCTTTTTTTCCCGGTAATTAGCGGGGGACAGGCTCAGGAACCGTCTTTTCCCAGTAATTAATGGGGGACAGGCTCAGGAACCTTTTCCTCCCGGCCATTAATGGGGGACAGGCTCAGGAACCCTTTTTTCCCGGTAATTAAAGGGGGACAGACGCAGGAGCCTTTTCCTCCTGACCATTAATAGGGGACAGGCTCAGGAGCCTTTTCCTCCCGGTTATTAACGGGGGACAGGCTCAGGAACCCTTTTTTTCCCGGTAATTAAAGGGGGACAGGCTCAGGAACCATTTTTTCCCGGTAATTTGAGGGGAACAGGCTCAGCTCCACGGTGCTCTGTGAGAGGCTCTGCAGGGAGCTCTGGGTGGGCTCCATCCCCTCCCTCCCCTCCCTCCCC